ATGTGTGAGCTGCAGAGAAACACCGGACTGGTGCTCTTAAAGACTATTTGTGACCTAATCACCAGACGGATGAGTTTCTGCTCGTGGTTTCAGTTCTGCATGAAAACGTCTAATTCAGACTGAACGATGGCGATCCGGATGCTTCAATGTGACATTCAGAACAGGGGCGGAGCTAGGACTGGCTAACGGGGGCCGAGGCCCCTCGGTTAAAGCTGCAGCATGCAACTTATTTGTTTTTTATTTGCCAAAACTGTCAATTTTTTGTGACAGGAGGGTAAGAGACAGATAATCTATGGGGGGTGGAGAATGAATGCTCCCACTTCTAACTAGAAATCATGCTTATGTACGCGCTGCTCTCCGCTATGCTACTGCTTCTTCCTGATAGCAGAGCCTGTTGTGAATGCTAAGGCTCGTTAGCATGGGCGGATAAACGGTTTTCCTGTAAGTTGTTTCTCCACCATTAGCACATTTATCAGCACAGACACAAGCTTGATTAACAGCGCTAAGACCCTCCTCCTGCCTCTGGTTGTTTGTAACTCTGAGTGGTGCATTTCTTCAGACAGCATCAGCAGCACATAAACCTAATCTATACTAATTTCTTTTATATTTCTCTTCAGTCCATTTTGTTCTTAATTTTAAGTAACATTTCTATTTTTTGTAATTTTTCTTAATATCACCATCCGTAGTTTATCAGAAGCATTTTTTGAAAAAAAAAAAAACTTTGTAAAGTTTTTGCAGCAGCATCATAAAAGAGTAACACACTTTATTTACATCGTGCTCATGTAAAATATCCCAGTCACTCATGTCTGCTATCAGGATCCCACTCATCATTTTCCATCCATGACATTAGTGAAGATATCACTCCAATGCAAATCTAGTTGGTTAATGAATCAAACTACTCAATGAATCGATTAAATCACTGTTTGTATTCGGTTCTTTCAAATGTCCTGTGTCTATAATTAAATTTCTATAAGGGAATGTTTGGTTATTGCCGTTTCTGTCAATATTTTATCAGTAAATACGTCTACACTTTAGATACACATTTTAATTTTCAGCCTCTGCTGTTGAAGTTTTTTTTTTTATTCTAGAGGATCTAAAAGCTGCAGCAAATCCTTCAAATCCCGATTAACAACCAAACATAAAAAGATCCAAACCAAAAATGTGAAGAAGTAAGAGGGCCAGGAAGACGCAGTAAATGGTTCTGAATAACCAGAATGCCTCAGCTTGCTTGGAGAAACGCAAACAGCAGCTTCTCCATTTGATTCAAGGTAACATCCACGTGTTGCCATGGTGTTGGCAGAGAGCGCATCCATCTCTGTTTAACGTGTCATTTCTGTTTCACTCCTCTGCTTTACCACAAGATGAATATGACAAAAAAAAAAAAAAAAAAAACGGAAATGAAGGAAAAAAATCATGTAATTTTTGATATTTTGTGTTTTTTCTGGACTTGCAGAAGGATCGTGGTATTTTGTGTTGAAGGGTTACATCTGGTCTCTGTAGACATTCATAAAACCGAATATTTTAGTAATGGAGTAATCAAAATATTTGATCAAGTAAAATATTGACTCATGGTTGAATTTAGCGTGCTAGCATTAGCTTCCACTAAATACCAATAAGTTTGTCGTGTGTATTAAAGTTTTGGTTATCAACTGTTATAAATTCTTCAAATAGTTAGACATTTACATGCTCTTATTTTGAAGAGGGGTAAGACTATGCAGCCATTCTGTTTCCTCTCTTAATGTCTGTCTCTTTTCCAATAACTATTTCAAACCAGAAACACACAGGAACAAAATAAAACATGGGCATAGAGAACAAGTCAATAAAACAATGTTTAAGAGCTGTGCATGTATAATGCCAAAATTAAATTGGTGCTCAAGAATGTAGACTTTCAAGGCTAGTGTTAGCATTAGCTTCCATTAAATGCCATTTTGGTTTAGCGCTGTAGTGTTAGCGGAAACCGTATTCATGATTAATGTTTTAGAGTTAGCATAAGTAGCTAACCCACTGTAGAATACACAATGACCTGTTTTCATGCAGATCACTGATTGCTGCTCTGCAGCCACAGGTTCCAAAGTTAATATCCTGACTTCCCAGTAATGGACACTAATTGCTTTTTTCACCCCTAAATGCGTGAGGAGTCATGCCTCTTCAACATCACTGACAGTTTGGATTTTGTTGTGGCTCAGCGGAGGAGAAATGCCACTTTCCTGAAGAGGCTGACCTTATCAAAACTTAGTCGCATCAGGAATGCTGCGTTATTATGCTGATGTTCTCCATCCTGTGGAACATGAGCTTTCTGAACCCGCTAATGCGTCACGTGGCTCTGTGGTCAGGAAACTGCCAACTCCACACCATCAGCACAAAGTCATTATCATCTGCTCAAAGTGTGTTGTTAATTAATCCAAGAGGTCATTCTACTGTGATTAACTTTAAGTACTAATGGTTATTTGGTTGCTGTTGGAACCCATTTCACAGAAAATCTGTCCTTTCTTTCTCCAACTTAAGGTGGATCTGATTGAAATGACCCAAACAATAAAGATCGAGCTTAAAGCAGGTCGCTATATTTAATACGGTTATTGTACTATTACTTATTAGGATATTTTAAATTCAATTAAGCTTCTGCTGGCCACACCCGCTGGCTCAATGTTTACACTCGCATGTGAAAATTGGTACAAATAGATGCGCAACTATACAACCATACATCTTTGAAAAGCATAAGTGGAGCCTCCTGTATACAGCCAACAAGAATGCAGCAAGTAGTTTCTGATAAGCTAACAACAAAACACAAACCAGCTGACCAAACATGCTGGAGCTCAGTTTTGGTTGCTAGGTAATGTGCTGGACTTCACTGTGGTTGCTAGGCAACGAGCAGCTCCTGATTTGTGATGTTACACTCCGGAGGTTTTTGAAACGGCTCTCTTCTATGACGGCGTTGGAAACAACTGAGAAGGAGGTGTAAATTTGTTTAAAAAAAAAAATGAAAATTTGAAATTATTCTCAGACAATTTTTAGGAAAAAGGAAAATTCTGAGTTTGAAAAGTAAAAAAACCTTGGAACATTTTCTGAGTTACAAAAGTCAAAAACGTTCAACTTGTGTACCATTGTACTGCGCACACAGCGGTAAAACCAGCTGACCAAACGTGCTAGAGCTCAGCTTGGGTTGCTAGGTAACGGGCAGAACACAGCTGCAGTCGCTAGGTAACGGGGAGTAGCTACTGATGAGTGACTTTACATTCTAATTCAGACACAAAAACATTAACTTATGGCCCAAGAGAAACACCTGACTGGTGTTTTTTAAAGCACACTGCTGCTATAATCTGGAAAATATCGTGATGGTGTTCAGAGACATATTTTCCACTGCAAAAGCAATATGTTTTCATGGGAAGATGCACCTTAGATGCACCTTAATATTCTTCTTTTTTTCTTCCTGTATGGAAATATGCTTTTAAAACACACAGAAAACAATGTCATCTAAAGCAAACCCAGATAACGACGCACGCTCGGCTGAACAGGTGATTGAGACCAGATTGATCAGCAGCGCTGCAGAGGAGGCTGCTGCTGCGGTGAGGATGTTGGCACGAACAACAGAGCTGCAGAGATGTTCCACTCAAACAGTAAGAGACTGGAGATTCAGCTGGTTTTAATGAGGAGAGTCCATCTGCTGGATCTAAACTCGCAGAAGAAAAGAAACAAACAGTAACCTTGCAACAGATCAGTGCAAAGATTTTACAACAACCGAAACTTAAACAGTTCAGATTTTACACGACACAATATGGCTTTATAGTGATCGTGTAAAGCAGTAATTACAATTTCTAAAGGATTTTATATAAAAGCTAACAGTAAAACGAAGCATTTGTTCTGATGCCAACAACTTAATTAGCATAAAATTATCCTGTAAAACTTAAATATAAAGATAAAAACACACTTCCCCTGGTTTCCTCTGAGCTTTCGTGCATTTTACGTTTCACTGCTTCAGTCTGATGCACTCCTGCTCTTTCACCGAAAGGTCAAGGTTCATGAAGAGTGGAACATCTCGTCTCATCAGAACCGCCTGTCTCTGTTTTGCTTCGCAGTCAGCAGGATGTTTAGCTCCTGTTCGTTTTATTTTCCAGCAGTTTTGTTTCCTCCGCAGAAACACTCATTGGTGAAGGAGGTTAGCACAGCCTGACCTCGCAGGATAAGCTCTGCAACTCACCTCTGGCTGCTTTTTGGAGAAAATTCAATTTATTACTATTCTGGGTTCATCTGCAGAGAAATTTAAGGTTCTGTCTTTGGTTCTGGTGATGGCAGAAACCGCAGAAGCAGAACCGCAGCAGAACTTTGTTTGCAGAAATCCTCTAATATTCACGTTCCAAAACATACAAACACTTGAGCGTTTTTACATTTTGCAAACTTCAGCATAAATCTGCAACGATTATTCGAGATTAACCGATAATGGAAATAATCACCAACTTTAGCAATCATTTATTTGAGTATTGAAATTCAAAAAAGGACAATTTGCTTAAAGACCAACACAATCAGAAGTAATTAAGTCAAATCTGTACAAACAATATGTACATTATGCAAATGGCCTTCACTCCAGTTAACGATTAATCGATTGCTACAAATCAATCCCTTCTGCCCTAGTGTAGTTTTTCAACACACTGATGCTGCCTGAAATAAACATCTTCCAAACAAATATTTAAATATTACTCAACAGTCATTTTCAGTGTTTAAAAAAAAACAAAAAAACAATAGAAACATATTGCATAAAATGGAAAACACAAAACATACGTCTAAATAAATTCTGTTTAAATTTATTCTTTAAGGCAATCAACTTTACAAAAGTATAAAAAACAATCCAGAACACATCCATTATTATTATTAATACTTATTAGTTCCTGGTTTGAATTAATTACAGACTTAATTTATTGTCTTTTCACAAAAAATGGCAACAAAAATATTAGAGTACACAGAATAAATACTGAAAAAAAATTACATTTAAATATATAAAGGTGTTACTGGAGCAGGTAAAAAGAAGAGATATATTTTTTAAAATCTAGAAAAAATATACAAATTATAATATGGTGACTAATATGTATAAAAAGAGCAAATAAAAACAATATACAATCAGTAAACTTTACTTGTGTTTAGCAATGATGTAACTATTAAGATTATATTTTATTTGTTGATGTTCTTTATGGATTTTTTCAGGTTTTCAGATTAAGTTCATGAAGATTATCCAGCTTTTCCGTTTTAAATTTCATCCGTCCACTTATTTTTTTTTATTTTTATTTTTTTGAGAAACGATGTAAGAATCTGGGCACCAGGGACTCGTTTTATGGCCATCTGCAGAAAGCTGGCTGCAAATTTAATAAAATAAAATATCTGCCAAAAGAATGTTTGGTGGATCCGAAACAGCACAGAAAATATGTTCCAAATATATTCAAAAAGTTTTTAAACCTGCACAAAATACCGCTTCAGCACATTGTTTTGTTCCGAGGAAGTTATAAACCAACAAAGCCAGAAACTTGGATGATTTAAGACGGGAGTCCAGCCATCAGGATCAGGGCTGCTGCCGTTTCCTCGCCTGCCTGGCCTTTCCACCGTATCGATCAGCGTCTCCGACAGCAAAACACGGACCAGAAAACGCTTTGTGATATTTTAGCAGGTGAGAAGGATGGAGGCAGAGAAAAGAAGAGCAAAGAAAGGGGAGACAAGGTGGGAAATGAGGTGAGGAGGAGGGGCTGGTCTGTTTGAATTTTCCATTAAAAGAATCATCTGCTGCAGCGCGGAAGAATAGAAACGGACGGATGGATGAAGAAAGGAGGAGGAGATGAGTTAACATATCTCTATCAAACTCTGACGCAGCGGCAAACTTCATTCAGTCGATGAAAGCTCCTGGAAAGGCTGAAATGATTCTGTTAAACCCAAACACCTGGGTAGCTGCGGCGCCGCGAGTTACGGACAGCAGAGCGGAAAAAGGCCGAGTGCTTGGAAACAGATGGCAAATATATGCTAATGGAAACCAGGAAGTGGGCGGAAAAGTGAACAAAAATACAATATATATCTGCATAGATGTTTTATTTTATTTTAATTCATATCCAGGATGTAAAAGTGGAAAATAATCACCTGTTTTTATAATTCACACAGGAAATGGCACTGATGACATCCTGGCTCAAACTGAATGCAGATGAAGCAAATCTGCTGTAAAACAGGAAAATATGAACGTCTGCAGATCTTCCTGCTGTTTTTGTTGGTAAGCTGAACTTAGAAAGGCTTTTAAAATCCCTAATTTATGTGTTTCCATTGATCCCAAACTGAGTTTTTTATTCACTATTTAAGTTTTTATCAGGTTTTCAATCTAGAAGTTGGTGTTCTGACTATGTTTTCATTTTAAGCACTTTAGAGTTTTAATCTTTTTTACTTTAACTTTTTCCACATGAACATTCAAATTTAGATACAGAATTTTATTTGTAAAAATTATGAAACCCATGTATAATTTCCAGTCAAATTCAGATTTCAGTTTCTCCGTTGCCTAAAATCCCATGAAGCTAAAATGTGAATTCAACCTGATAAAATGTGGAGAAGTTCAACGGGGTGTGAATACTTTCAGGGTTCTCTGCAGCCTCAGATGGATGAATCAGGAAGCTCGTCTGATTCATGGAGCCTCCTGGGTTTCTCTGAGATGACCCGATCGACCAATCAGCTCGCTGACATTAACGCGGCGCCTAACCAGCAGCGGCGTTCCCGGCTGCACCGGCAGCTCTGCAGGCGCTCGTCGCAGTTTACAGACAGAAAAATAAATACTCCGTCTGGACATTAAAAAACCTGCAAGACTTTTACAGTCAAGCAACAAACTGAGGAAACAAACATGACTGAGAAAACCTGAAATGTCAAGTTGACGGGGATCCCTTCCCCTTGAGCTGGATTATTGCATCTTCAAAAATCACCGGGTTAATCCAGAATAAGTTACCTTTTATCAAATGAAGCCCCTGATACAAATGATGCTCTATGATGAAATGACAAGGAGTTAATGCAGAAAACAGCAATAAAAATACAATAATTATCTAGAATATTATCTAGAATATTCTGTGGCCCTGTAGGCATCTCTACAGGGCCACATAAAACTTCTTGGCGGGCCGGATTTGGCCCTCAGGCCTCAGGTTTGACTCACGTTCTAGATTAAAGCAGACTGAACAGGGCTGGTGCTAAACTTTAAGTTTAATTTGACTGAATCATTGGATCAGAAATGGACCCGTTTACCTTTATTTGTGAAGATTTGTCTGTTTTAATCTGGTTCTAAACTAAACTGACAAAAACAGACAACTTCAAACGGTGAATCAACAGTAAATCTGTTTGCTTTGAAGAAATAAGGTCACTGCTGATTGAGTTTCTTAAAGCGTATGAAGGAAATTAAGAGAGTGATACTGAGTATTGTTTTTCCTTTCTTTTTGTTTCTCTGATATGTGTATTTATTTACTTTGGAGATTAGGTTGTTTAATGTAAATCTGCCACTTATTTTGCATTACATAATGTTAAAAAAAAAAAAAACGTGTTTGTTGATGATGTGGGAATCTTTTCCCTTTAATTTGTTGTCGGTTTAGAGGGACTTTCTGCTACTTTTAACGGCAGGAGAGTCTGAACCGGATCAAAACGAGGAATTATTAAAGATTCTGTCATCATCTTCCTCCTCCTCCTCGCCTTCCTCCTCTGCCATCGGCCGGCCAGAACGGTCCTGAAATGTCATGTCCTGCTGCTAATGAGGTGGGAGCGTGTGTGTGTCTGCAGGGGTAAGAGGAGATTAGAGCTCGCATGTCCACGGTCAGAGGAACGACTTCACTCACACACACACACACACACTCTCTGACATTTAGCTGCACCATAGACTCTAATTTTGTTTCAGCGTCTGGCCTTCAGTCCGGCCTCTTCTGTCGCTCTTTTCTCCCTCCATTAAAAACACTCTTATTCTGTTATTGCGTCTCTTTATTGTTTCATTGGTTTTTATCGCTCTTCGTTTTTATTAATAAGCAATCCGCTGCTTTCTGCTGAACGTCGACATCCCATCGATTGCAGCGATATAAACATAAAGTCCAGGAGAAACTGGTCTAGTTCAACTTGTTGCTGTTTTATTGTCTTTTTCTGATTAATCGGATCAAACTTTCCCATATCTATAATCAGAGGAATAACGGAAAGTTTTAAAAAGACTGAACGTTTGACAAACATCCTTTCTTTGACCGTCACAATAACAAATTTTGATAGAGAATCAATTTGCTGGTTATCCTCCAGCAAATTGATTCTCCAGCACTGTGAAATGTTATAAAAAATTAATTATTTTTAAAAAATAAATTAAAGTTGTTTTATCAGTCATTGGATGAAAGTGTTCAAATTTTAGTTTTTAGATGTGATCTGAAGGGTTTTTATGCATCGTTACCAGCCAAGTTGCAGTAGTAACTAGTTACATTTACTGGAGTAACTTTTTTAAAATGTACTTTAATAAGCATTTTATACTTTTTGCTTTTATTTGAGTAATTTTATTATGAAGTATTTCTACTCTCACTTGAGTAAAATGTCTGGATTTTCTACCCACTGAATGAAAATCAAAAATGTTTTAACCAAAAATTCACCAGACACAGACCTGCAGTTCCTGTTAAACTTTCATAAGTTTGACTTATTGTCATTTTCATCCTTTAAATACCAAAATTTTCACCTGACATTTTTTTTATCCATTTACTCTGAACTTGAGTAGATTTTCTACTAAATACTTTTTTTATTTTTAGTTGTGTAATTTCTTGGACAGATGCTTTGTACTCTTACTTTTTGGTGTACTCTTCACATCTCTGTCAGAAAGCTGATGTTCTGCCTGCTCGCTCAGTTCTGTCACTGATTGTGTGCATCGATGACTTTCCGTACATCAGTGATCGCTCCTCTTGGACCGTTGCTGTAAATAATCCTGCAAATAGACGAGAACAGAAGTCTGAGCTTCACACTTATGAAATGCTTGACTTTACCCATCTGTCTTTTTGATCTCCACCTCTCTCTCACCCTCTCTCTCACACACACATGTACACACACACACACCTTCATCCTTCATTGCTATTGTTCCACACATATGCAAGCCAGCACTTGCACTGAAAAAAGGAAAATAAAAGGCTGTGGGAAACTGCACTTCCTCTCCAGATGCCTCGCCTGCCCTCATTAAAAGTGATGTGTGCATGTCACACGTACATGCGTACACACACATGCATCAAATCACATCATCTCCAACTGTCATATTAGTAAAATATTAATGCTGAGCTCCTCTGCGTGTGCATGTGTTTCCTCTCGGGGGGGAGGCTTTGTGCCTGGGTGGGGATTAGTGACAAAGATCTGAGACCTGGGTGGTCATCTTGCACCGATTCACAGTAATTGGCAAAAAGGGAAAAGGGAAGAACGATTCGAAAAGGTGACTTCTGAGAAAAAACGTAAAAATGATGAAACAGAAACAAGCCGATGCTTGGTTTACGTTTCCATTGTTCTCTGCAGACTGGAAATGATGAAAGTATTTAGATGCAGACGGGACGAACTGCAGCCTGAATTAAGCCGTTCCACATTAAATCAGCCTGAAAGAGTAAAAAACAGCACATCAAGTGGTCAAAACTGAACCGATGTTAATGTCTGCACTGCAAAACAAAAAATCTTCTTAGTATTTTTAGTCTAGTTTCTAGTGAAAATGTGTTTGTACTCTTAAAATAAGACTAAACTAACTTATAAATAGCTTTTCTGCCAGAAACAGGAGGTTGGTTTAAGTCAATAATAAAAAAAATGTTATAGTAAAATACATAGAATGACAACGGCACCCAGATAATTGTCTGTGTGATATGACGGTGATGAGGCGGTGAGCAGCGCTGCACCCCACACCGACTAACTGCATCTTAGCGCCTAAAATAAAATTATCATTTACACTGGGTTATCTGAAAGTAAAACATCTTCTAGCACATTATATTTATTCTTTTCTTCCACTAACTTGAGGGATTCCCAAGTCGTTCCCTGCCCAGCTGAGAAACACTCCAGTCCAATTCTGATTGATTAAAATCTCGCCTTCCAGACAGTTTAGGCTTTCTTCCATTGACTTGGATTCCTCTGGTAGAATTTTTACGCTGTTTTAGAATCATATTCTACTTTTAGTTTTAGTAATGGCACACATTTTCAATTAAATTTTTACCATTCTTAACATGTAAGGGGCCAAACACAATCATTTCAAGGACCAGAAATGGCCCCCGGGCCACACTTTGGACACCCCTGCCTTGAAGGTTTTCGGAGTTGTCACTAAAATCTGCAAGTTTTTTCTTACCTGTGTGGAATATTACCAAAAGTTATTGCAGTTTGTGCCCCAATGGAGAAAAATACATCAAATGGCAAAAAGATGTTCAACACAACGCTAAAAAAAAAAGACATTCTCCCTGCACAGCCGGATCATTTCTTTAACAGATATTTTTGAGAAGAAATGATAGTTATAACCCCAAACCCTATTTGACAAGTGACCTCTGGGATACACGGTGCAAACAACACTGCATCAATGGTTGCCATGCAACGCAGATGGCACCACAAGTAATAACAAGCAACCTTTCGAACGGGCCGGCTCACAGGAAAGCGCCAACCCCAGGGGCTGCCGATCGCAACCAGCTGCAGGTGAACGTGGAGACAGCACATTTTTCTCAAACCTAATAAAGTCCTGAAGTAACACAAAGAGTAAGACGGATCAAGGGAAGTGAAACGGAAAGGAAAAAAAGAGTTGGGAGAGAACCGCAGAAGAAGGATGAGGGATACCTTGAAGGAGAAGCTCGGTTAAAGAAGACAAAGTGTTATTGCCGTTTGGTTCCACAGACCCGAGCAGGGGGCCTCCATCTTTTTCCTTTCGTCTCACGCACACAAATACACACTGGGGGGCAGGCGGAGGACGGCTCTTTGGGCACCAAGGTCTTTCCTCTCACTAAATTAAAACCATTAATAACCAACTGGGAGAAGAGGAAGAAAGAAGGCATGAGGGAGACGGATGGATGGTGGAAAAACAGATGTAAGAGGAATGGTGCGATTAGAGGATCGTAAGACTGCTGCAAGTGAGGCAAACTGATGGGAAACCTGAGGACTAAAGCGAGATGTGTGGAGAAAAGGATTAAAGTTTCAGGAACAACATGGTGTTGCATCGAGTCAACTGTTTTCTGGAGTTGATCAATTTGTTGCAGCAACAAAGGAAACGCAGCTTCACGTGCAGGGAAAAACATTGTTAAAGAATCAGGGCATTTCAAAAATGGCAAAAATAGACGACCTCTCAAAATGGTCTCAAAGAAGGAAAATCAGGAAAGACGAAGAAAATATGAACGGAGGTTAAAGGGGGGCTATTATGTAAAAGTCACATTATCCATGTTTTTATAACTCTATTTGAGTTTCTGCTGCTTATAAAAAAAATCTAAGTGCTTTAAAAAAACAACCAGTTGGTTTTTTGACAATAAGTTAATGTTTTTAAGTGTCTGGAAAATGAGACAGTTCAAAAACCTCCCAGTGGTTAAGTCAAGCTGCGTCGTCACCTAGCAACCCTAGTAGAGTTCCGCCCATCACCTAGCAACCCCAGTAGAGTTCTGCCCGTCACCTAGCAACCCCAGTAGAGTTCTGCCCGTCACCTAGCAACCCCAGTAGAGTTCCGCCCATCACCTAGCAACCCCAGTAGAGTTCCGCCCGTCACCGAGCAACCCCAGTAGAGTTCCGCCCGTCACCGAGCAACCCAAGTGGAGCTCCAGCTGGATTTACCGCTGCATGTTTTGTTGTTGACTTGCCATTCAGAAACCACTTGCTGCACTCTTGATGGTGGTGCAGAAGGCTCTACTTCTGCTTTTCAAAGATGTACAGTTGTATATTTGTGCGTCTGTTTGCAGCTATTTCAAGTGTGAGTGTAAAACGTTGAGTTGAGAGGTTTGGTCAGAAGCTTATCTTGATTTAAAGTGACATGGGGCCCTAAAACATTTACTACAGCAAAAGTTTGTTTAGTTCTAGTTACAAACTTGGACTAGAACTAAACTTGGTTTATGAGTTACTCGTTTCACTTCTCCCAAAATTTAAAAACAACAAAGAAAGGGGCAGTTTCACTGTTTTTAGGTGTCTAGAAGATGTGAGCTCCAGAGTTTTTACTTGGCTGGTTGTTCTTGAACTAGGTCCAGTTTGGATTCCAAAATAAGTCAAGAATAGAAATGTGTCGACCTGAATTCTAGTTTCAGTTTTTGCATCAGTCATTTTCTATGGCTGCGACCAGATTTGGCTCACCAGGGAGAGCTTTTAGGTCTGTCTGACAGATCTAAAAGCCAGCACTTTTAGAGAAAATTTCTCCTTATGATCAAGAAATGAATATAACTATTAGAAATTAGCAGAAATACTTGAAATTGTCCATCAGGTTTCATCTTTTTGATTGAATTATTTAGTGATATTCTAACTTACTGAGTTGTTATAGAGCTTTTAAATCAAATCATTCTGTTTTGCTCCACACATTTAGTAATAGAAAAAGCACAAATTCAAAGAATATAACTCCCTGATAAAACAGAAAGCAACATTTTGGTAATTTACAACAGGTCAAAACAGATTCTAACCCCATTAGGGCCCCAAAATACTTGGTTTTTATAATAATTTAGATTTCAAATAGCTATTCCTAGTATATATTAAAGAAAACTGATACAATGTGTACTTAGCAATTAGTGAGGCTGGTATAATAAAGCTTACCATGGTGTACAAACACCTTTGCTTTCTTGTAGTAAAAGCTAGACGCGCAGATCAAGGTTAGCGATATTGCCTAGCAACCGTAAGCCCTCCACATCACTTTCTTTCCTCTCTCTGTTGTTCACATGTTCATTTATGTTCATTGAAATCTGCCAGATAGTTCACCAGTTTCATAAGCAACAGCAACCTTGAGTCAGCTCACTGAGTTTTTCATCAACACACAAAACGCACCGACACACACACACACACACACAGAGCGTCCTCCGAGTGTGTTTGCTGCCCACAAAAAGATGTTACAGAGTGTCAAACCAATATCTGTCTCTTCATCGCTGCCTACCTCTCCATTTTCAGCTCAAGGACGAAAAAAAGGGAAGCAGGAGGGAAAATAAAAAATAAAAAAAGTTAGAAAGTGATGGAGAGAGCAACCGACAGGAAGAAACTAATGAAAAGATGAGGTTTTCATGTGAAGGCAGGCAACATGGTCAATAAATGATGAAGTTTCACTCATTCCACAGAGATATAAATGTGGGGCTCAAACCAGGCAACGTTTTAAAGAATTTAAAAACTAAATGTCTTTCATAATGGATTATTCACATGACTTTATATAAAAGGACGCAGAAATACAGTTTTTTGATTTTTCTCGTTAAGACATTTTTGATCAGGATTTGAGAGAGATTTCCGTCCATATTTCTCCTGCTAAGCTAACATGTTTACTTTGGTTGTATTTACCCAGAATGCCCTGTGTTGTAGTCTGCGCCCTGGTTTTGCAGTGATTTCTGGTCTGTTTATTGTTCACATATGCACTGAAACCGCATCAGAGTTCACATCAACAGAACCGAGACTGAGGTTTGTAGGCAGACCAGATTTTGCTCTTGTGGTCCAAATCAGAGTTCGGTTAGCATTCATAACCCCCCAAATGAACCGGAGTTTGATTAAGAGCTGCAACTAACAATTACTTTTGGAATCAATGAATCAATTATTCTAACAGTGAATTGGATATAAAAAATTTAGTTAACCATTCAAGTCTTTTTTTACATTATTAGAAACACATTAAAATATGAAAATATATAAAAGATTAAATTCATTATTTAAATAAGAAAAATAAACATTTATTGCCTAAAATGCAATAGCATCGTTCCTCTTGTGAATGCTTGGCCATTTGAAGGATGCCTCTTCACCTAAAATAATACTTATAACATTTAATGTGTAAATGTTTTTAGTGCTACTCTGAAGATGTTGTGCTTTCAGCCATAGTTTGATTAAAGTGGACTAAACAGGACTGGTGTGAAAGTATCTTTAGAGGGAAAAAACTCACAATTTATGAGAAACTACGACTACAATTCATCAAAATCCCTGACATTTCCACACATCTAGACCCATTTTTATCAGTTCGACAGCAGATTAAAAACTAAGTTGATGTAAAACAGGAAACTTAATCACAAACTAAGCATAAATTGTGTAAGTATTATAAAACTATGTAGGTGTGCAATGACAATAGCTGGATTTCCATTGCAAACTTAATATTCCGCTACTGTTGAAAAAACACAATCTTTTCAACATTGCGCCGTTTCTGTTAAATAAGAAACAATTAAAATCACATGTGAATAAGTCATTAAAAACATGCATCGCCATCATCCTAACACTTTGTGTCATTTTCTTTGTTGTTTCCGCCAGTAGTAACATTCTGTTGTTGATCATGATTAGTGTGTTTCTACTGCAGTTTTTATTAAATACACTAATTTGATGCAAATGAAAAAACACCTCATCCCAATGCAAAAACATTTTACCCCAAAAAATGTTTTTGTTTTTTTTTTTGTTTTTTCCAATTGGTGCGTTTCCATTAAGCTAATTTGTTTTTGTAATTCCAATTTGCTCGATTCTTTGGTGAATGGAAACTCAGCTAATGAAGCTGAACCGGAGAGACTCCAGATCGGGATTCAAACCCGGGACCTAAAACATAAACGTAATTAAAAGCTAAAACAATCCAGTGTTTACCATTGATTACATTACATCCTTAATAAAACACTACAAGTTAAACGTAATTTAAGCTCACATTATCTACTTTGAATTTCCCCGTAATTTCATTTGTTTTACTTTATTTTCTGATTAATTTGTGGGAGCAGATGAGCAGTTTAATAACCGCTGTGTTGTTTACGCTGTAATTAAAACAAAGTCTGCGAGTTATCGCTCTTTATTTGTGAGCTCTTGTTGTTGTCATCAGTCTTGAACAGAAACTAGAGAGAGGAGGGGGGAGGGAAGGCACGATGCTGGAAAACAATTAAAACGGCACAAATGTCCATTAGCATTCTGCCTGCATTGTTTAGCAGCGGCGAGACACGCCGTTGTGTGTGTAATTATGTTATTAGGCATTTTAAGAAACACATGCGCGTGCAGTCGCTTCATTCTGCCAGTGATGTGTCGCTGATTGCTGCACTCAGCCGTTTTATTAGGCCTAATTAAATTACCGGTATATCTGGGGCCCGCCGTCAGCCGGAGCAGAGGCAGCGCCACGAGGAGCACAAGGCGGCTGTATTTACAAGCATGTGTGTGTTCGTTAGTCGCTGCTCAGCTCAGAACGAAGGGGGAAATTTCCCTACAAGAGAGGAAAGGAAATCTTTAAATAATTAGATTTACCAGAACAGCAGTTAGGGTATAATTAGGAACAGAGAGATACACGGTTTCATCCGCCTCACGTCATCCATCTTGATGACTTTGTGCAGCATCAATAGAAAGTGGGATTGCGAGCGGATCGGCGCATGCACACATCTGTTTGTGTTATTAGCATTGGGCCGCAGTTGTTTCTCTGTGTGAGCGCTGCAGGGACTCCCCATCATTACTCACTTCTCCTCTGGAAACTCTCCATCTCTTCTTCTCAAACTCTCCCTCCATATTTCTCTGCTTCGTGTTTCCCTCCTGCTGGCTTCGGTTTTTCCCCCCCACATGCGTCTGCTGCTTCTTCTTTGTTGCAGGCTTTGTACTTCTGCTTGTCTGAGCCGCACCAGGAGGGCCACACTGAGGCAAATTGGGAAACTAATTGAAGGCCCCCAAAGGTTTATTTATATTAAGTAACTGACTGCTTTATTAAGTATATATCAGCCCGATTACATCCTAATAAGTATCTGGTTATGCTATAAAATTTAAGACAACACTGAGAGTTTCACACTTTCGATTGGGGACCAAAATGTTGCATTTTCAGCTGCTGCAGTTTGCTATCACATTACCCTGAGTCAAATGAACGAAACCCGTTGAAAGACCTGTTCCCCTCCTCACCTGTGGTGGCGGAACAAAGCTGGGTTTCCATTACAAATGTGCACAAAATTTTGTCAATATTCTGCTAATGTAAAAAAACACAATTATGCAATCGAGGTGTTTCCATTAAACAAGAAGCACAATTAAGATCAGACTTGAATAAGTTTGTTCATGCAATAAGTTATTAAAAAATATTCAGCTACATCATCTTCTAACAACTTCCTATTGTCTTATTTGTGGTTTCTGCCAGTAGTAACATCGGGCTGTTGATCACATGACTGCTGTGATGCGAAAAAAGTGTTTGCATTGGAACTGCATCACAATTCACTTCAACAAAACAGAGGCCACGGTTTGTAAAAGAACCAGAGTTAGGGGTTAGCGTGTACGACAAGAGGTCATTCATGCCTCCCCTGTTTAGCCGGCTTTCATCCAACTCAGGTTTGTTTGTTTGTCTAAAAAGTTTGGTTCATTTACGGAGGAGTGAATGGCTTTGACATCATTAGCATGTAGATGTGCTGTGGAGTAAGGTGTGTTTTGATTAGGTTAAAGAAAAAAGAAAAAAGGTTGACCCACACACCAACTCTGACAGGTAATCAATAATCAGGTGATTAAATTAGCCAGTCAACCGCGGCTGTGTTCAGGCGATCACTAATTAATGATTGCAAAATAAACATCAAACCAGAAAACATAAAACTGTAATGGGCTGAACGTTCTGTTCTTTGTGTGGAAAATGTTTTTTGGTGTTGAATCCTGATAATTTGTGGCATTATTGTCAGTCAGTTGCTATGGCAACAAGACTGTGTGTAGCGTAACCAACACACAGAGCAAAAAAAAAAAAAGAATATGATTTGAGTTGAATCCAGCGCTTTTTCTGTGTTGTTTCTCCGTTTGCTGTGGCGCTAAATGAATAAAACCGACATCTCCAGGTTTAGTTAATGGATTTGTTCTACCACGGCAGCGCTGCTATGGATGGAAAAGGATCGTCTTTTTGCCCCCAGTGTTTTGCACAAGCGTGAAATCTCCATACGTAAACAATAACATGCAAAGTGTCAAAGTCACAAGAAATAATGCCTCAAGGAATAACAAAAAATTGTATTCAAAGTCAAGTAAATTCATTGTAATTGTACCAATCGGTCATACTGGGAATGCATGTAGCGACAGTGGAGAGGAAAAACTCACCACTCAGTAACTCAATAACCTGTGATGACTTTATTAATCTCCTTGTTTTGCTAGAGAAGCTGATGTTTTCTGAAGGATTTCTGAAGGAATGTATTTGTTTACAATACATTCAGTAAAGCCTGACATGTCAAACCTGGAACACGAATAGACGGGTAAATGTCACCGGAGTTCGCAGAGCCGCTGAGGTGTGCGGTGCGAGTCGCTGCTCGGAGACAAATCCCACATTCAGCACACAGACGCACACTGGTGACCCAGGGTGTGCCGATGAAACGTAGACGGAAGGTAATTAAACAGGGATCAGGCTGCTCTTTATCAAGGGCTCTTCACTGCTGGGCTAAATTAACCTCTGCCCACACACACACACACACACACACACACACACAGATCCTATACTGAGAGAGGGGTGTTGAGGTGTGCCGACACATGGACGGCGATCGTGTGCTTTTTCCTGAGGAGCTCTTATTTAATCATCCGATGAATAATCGTGTTTACTTTTTTAATTGTCTGAGACTGAGGAAGGGAAGAGATTTACAGAGAGATAAAAAACCTACTTGTTGGATCAGGAGCCGCGTTCGGAAATTTTCCTCAATTCAATGCTGCAAGTTGCTCACAGCATGACATAAGAATCATCCAAACATAATTAATATTCAATGTTTACTTTTGAATTGTTACATTAAACCTTTATGAGCAATGAGGTACGTTTTTATCTTATAAATATGCTTTTATTGTCAAAATTTTGTATTTATATCCGTCTGCAGTTTAAGTCCTTAAGTTTTATGGTATACAATAATATGTGTTAAAGTTGACCTATTATGATTAGTTGAACAGTAATAAGTTTATGACCTATACAGAACGTGTTTATTTCATATTTTGCATAAAATTATTCTTTGAAAGTGGGATTTGTGATTCTGGTTATATTCAGACCTGGGTGTGGCTAAAAAGTGATTGCTTTATGAAATGTTTCACACTAATTTAGGAACCGGTAGAGCATGAATCCAGCATTTCTTTCACATTTAAATTTTTCCGTTCTGCCCGTTCCCTACCAGCCGTCACCTTTAGCTTCCTGTTTGATCTCGGTGGAGCCGTGGTTTGTCTTGCCTGGCCAGGTGTCTGTTTTCATCGGAGAACTTTGCTGCTCTCCACAGCTGTCCGACCACCTGTGGAGGTGAGACAAGAGGGAAACACAGAGGTGAGGCGGGAACAGATGAGGAGCAACACGAGGGGGAGGGGAGACTACAAAAGAAGCAGAAAGAGAAAAAGGGGTAACAGCTGGGAGGAAAATATGATTTTTATTTTATCTTTTAATTTAAACCACTTTTAGGTATTTGATCTCCAATGTTAGCGTTCAGGATAGAGCAGATTGCTCCAGAGTGCTTTAGGGTTTTGGCATCGGTTGTCATGACAACGGATCCGGGTGATGCTGAAAACGGGAAAACAGTGATGAGCCGCACTGTTCTGCACAGGCCTCAGGTTTAAATGTTTAAAGTAAACCGTTAAAGTAAATTTTTCTGACCAGGTAACGGAGGTGAGCGGAGTAGCTGAACGTAGCAGGTCGACCAAGAGCAGCGAAAGTAACAGAAATGAAAAACAATTCAAGGAAGAGGAAAAAAAGGTGCAACTTTTCATTAGTAACGGAAGTACTGTTTGATTAAAATCTGATTTAACTGACAGAGCGTTAATTGAGTTGAAAAAACGTAGCTGGAGTTTCACTCAGGTTGCTAGGTAACGGGCTGGGCTTGGTTGGGGTTGCTAGGTAACAGCGCAGAGCTCGTTGAAAGTGACTTAAGAATCAGGAGGGTTTTTTTTAACCTTGTGGTTGTTTAAAAACAAATCAGGAGGTTTAAAAACAAACGGCACATTTTTCAGACACCAGAAAACATTCATGTGTTGCCACATGAATGTTTTTGTTTCTTTTAAGCGCTTCAGTTGTTTTTAGGAGCAGTTGAACGATGGTTTTTCTGGGCTTTTTGCCAAAAAAAACTCAGAAAGCAGAATTTTTCCTCTCGCAAATTTTTGACTTTTGGAGCTCAGAAATTTTCGAGATTTTTCTCAAAGATTACTGAGATTAATCTCAAAAGTTCTGAGTTTTTTCTAACAGAAAAACATGAAAATTTCTGAGTTAAAAAGTTCAATATTTTGCAATTTTGAAACACCAAATTTTTGGGAAGAATCTAAATTTCTGATAAAGCTCACAATTTTAGTTTTTTTCTTGCAAAACTCCAAGTTTAGTTTGGCAAATTTCTGAGATTAATCTCAAATTTTATTGTTGGAAATTTGCCCTAATGTGCCGTCGTATAGCAGAGACCGAAAGGAAAGTACAAAAAAAACGTAATATGTAACGCAACCTCTGCTAGACTTCAACTCAAAGTGCATCCATTAAACACCTTTTTGATGCAAGTTTAATCCTGCTTAGTGATATCAAGCGTTGGTCATCATCTCCACAGTTTAAAATGGACAAAATGGCGCCCAGACACGTACAGACTCCTCCATTTGAGGGTTGGACGACTGGTGAAGAGCAAAAACAGAAAAAGTCACCAAGATGCTGCTAAATTTTAATAAGTCTGACTAGAAATCCATTTAAAGCTAATGAAGGTGATTACGCAGGAAGACGTTTTGTGACCTAACATGAAAACGTTGTAATCATGCGCTCCAGCAGCTAGGGAGGATTTCTGGAAATACTCTGCAGATGTAGACCTCTTTGATGTGAATAACTGACATGTTGCAGAATATTCCCCTAATGACCATCTAAACTAGGACAAATCTGATTATTTACAAATTCATGAGGCGCCAGCCGCTCTGGATGTTGGATTTCACTCCAGGAAATTCACAAATGTTGCAGCCTTTGATGTTACAAATTTAGCGCGAGCTGCAGAGGTGACAACACGACTTCTTCTGTTAGCCGTTAGCAGGTAAAGAGCCACCAAAGCGAAGCACAGCGATCAATTCACTGGAAAGCTAGAAAGGGTGGAAGAGATGTCTATTAATTTTTCGCAAGATGAAAAAAAAAAAAAAAAAAATCCCCTATGGCCCTGTAGGGGGCGCCATAATGTTCAATGTTCTACACTATGTGCACGAGAAAAGCTGCTGTTTTATTATCCTGCTTTCATTAAACCTGGTTAGAAAACCGGACCGATTCGCGCCTCGTCTTTACAAGCAAGTTAAGTTTCAGTAAATCTTCTATCTGGTCGCCTTAGAGCAGCAAACAGCTGCAGGAAGTGAGGGAACAATATGGCAGTCAGCAGATCAGCTGACGATGGAGAAGCTTCTGTCGAGGCGTGACAGAAACACTGACAGTTGGTTCTGCGCCTCAGAGTCCGACCCACGCTGCGCGGTTCTGCTGAATCAGTTACTGGTTGCAGTGAAAAACACAAAACACAGAGGAAGAAAAACTCCGAGGCACATTTTCATTTTGGGTCACGTCAAAATCATGGCTGTTCTCAAGCTGCTGGTTGTACCAGAACGTAACTCATCAACGAACAGTTCGAACATTAATAAATAGCTGAGTCTGCATTCTGTACTTATTTAAATTAAATAATATTAATTACCAAATTTCTCTGAGTTTGAAAAGATCCAAATTTGCTATGAAAAAATGAGATTAATTTCAAAAGATTTCTAGAAAAAACTTGGAAATTTCTGTGTTTGAAAGACAAACATTGCTTAGAAAACCTCAGAAAATATTAATCTCAGAATGAGTTTTTTGTTTGAAAAAAGAAGAAAATTCCTGAGATTTATCTAAAAAAACATTTTTTCAACATTTGACTTCAGAAATTTCTTTTTTTTTTCTAGACCATCTCTGAAATTATTCTGAAAATTTCAGAATTTTTTGGCATAAATTCACTCCTTTTTCTTTCTACAATGACCCTAATATACAGGGTAAATAATATTAATTACCAAATTTCCATATATAGAACAGATGCACCTTAATGTCAAGCAGATCCACAAACAGGTGAGTGAAAACAGAAACGCTGCTCCTTGTTTTTGCTGCAGGAAGCCAATCAGAGGACCATCGATATTCACCGTTTGCTCCATTAAACTTCCTTCCTTCTCCTCGGCTGAGTCTCAGCTTCGCGTGTTCAGCTTCCTGCTAATTGGCCGGCAGTGACCTGGCGTATCGGAGCTGATAAAGGCCACATTTAGGGCATTAATGAGATCTGACAGACACCAGCGTTAATCATTTAGAGCCTAATCAGCGGGTCAGGCCAACCCACAGGCACAGCGCCCGGCAAAAACAAACCCACGATGCCATGCACAATGCGTCAGCCACTGAGGGACGAATCAAATCTGAACACACAAATCCTAATTCAAGATGGAAGAAACCATCAAATCTGAATACAATTTAATCCACATGCAGACTGGAAGTGTGCATATTTTTGTATCAATCCAATTCCAAGTAAATACAAGTCCAGAATCTCCAATACTGATACCAATATGATAATTAATATTTAACATCATCAAACTTCTGAGATTCTGTGGTTTTCTTCACATAATTTTGTGAAAATCTTGGACAGAATTTAAATAAAGTTTGCAGGTGTCTGCAAAATACTTACATGATAAACAGAGAATGTAAAAACAAAAAAAAAATGTGAATTATTTCTAAGTAAATTGTGCAGGAAATTATTGTTTGAGAGCAAATCAATGCACAGAGTTGAGAAACTTACGACGATGCATTAGGGTCGTTGTAGACAGAAAAAAATGAGTAAATTTTCACCAAAAAACTCGGAGATTTTGATACAAATCTCAGAAATTTTATACTTAAAAAAAACTGGAAATTTCTGAGCTGCAAAAGTTGTTTTGTTTTTTTTACTTTTGAATCTTTCTAGAAAATTTGAGAGTAGTCTCAAAATTGTTGCTTTTTTCAAGCAAATGTTCATCTTTTGGAGATCAGAAACTTCCAAGTTTCTTTTTAGGAAATGCCTGAAAAAAATCTCAAAATGTTTTGGAGAATATTTACTCTTTTTTTTCCCCTGTAGTTACTGTAGCCGTAATACGCCGTCATAGTTTCATCCCTGCACATTTTTTCCCCATTTTTTGCAAATATTCCTCATTTTTATGCACATTTTTTAATTGTCCGACTCGGTTGCACATTTCTTTGAATTGCAGTTTGATATTCTTTCATGACTGCAGAGTATTTTTTATTCTTATGCTTTAAATTTGCTCTCACTGCAGCAGAGTCTTATTCTTACTTCCAGGTTTTATATTTTATCTTTGTGTGAATCTACATGCTTCGACTTGCCTCCCACTTTGCTGCTGGCACACTTGAATTTCCCCACTGAGGGAAAATAAAAGTTATTTCTATGCAATTCTGTTCTTCTATGTTGAGTTTATCATCTCTTCCTGACTGCATTTTGTCACATTTTGAGGTTTTATCCATCCGGAGCAGCAGACTGCAGCTATAGAAAAGGCTTATATAAACCACTTTTAGCCGATCCGCTAACAGAACCTCTTTTCTTTCTCAGGTGAGGCGTGATATTATCCTTGAGTTTAGCATGAGAAATGAATCTGTGAGGCTTTTAATGTTCAGCCTTGGTCACTATGACAACTACCCAAAGAAATCTAACAAAGAATTAGACATCACAGATGAAAGGCTCAAGCGGTTTGTACAAGTGAATTAAAACTACTTTGCTCTTTCTGTCCAGCAACTCCATATGTTCTAATCTAGGGTTTAAAAACAAAAAGTAAAACTTTAATATTTCCAATTCCATCTTCGCTAAAACAGAAGATGACATCCACAAAGTGAATGAAGCTTCTTAGCTGCAGACGAGACTCACTTTGTCACAAAAAGTGACTAAAAGGTAAAAATGTAAATCTGACAGGCGATCTTGAATGTAGTTGCCACAAAATGGCTGCTTACCACGAGATTTATGAGTCAAAACTTAATGTCAGCGACACAAACATGTCCCAAGTTTTTAGTTCTTATTTTGTATTTATGATTTATACGAGATGGAATTTTGTTCTTTGTTAAAAAATATCTAAAGAAACGATAAGATGAATTACCAAATGGTAGCAATCATTGTACAATGAAGTATAATGTATAAAATACAATTACGAGAATAAAGTCATAAAATTATGAGAATAAAACTGAATAAATTCAAGAAAAAAGACATAATATGGGAATAAATTCATAATATTTTGAGAATAAATGTATGGCATTATGAGGATAAGGTCACAAAATTATGAATTTGTTCTCGTATTATTTCAACTTCATTCTCATAAAACGTTTCTCCCATGATACCGTCTTCATCCTTGAATCTGTCGGATTTTATTTGTAGAGCCATTAACTGGAAAAAAATGCCACACAAAATGCTTTAAATAAATAAAATAACTCACCAAAATTAAATAAAACTAAATAAACTAATACATATTGAACAGCTAGGATAAATTATAAACTGGGGAATTGAGAAAACACCAGAAATGTAAAAACGTACTTGGTCATTTTAAAGCTGTAAAAAATGTAGTTTAACTGAGACAAATAAAATTTACATTTTATGTGTGATGGAATTCAAAGTATTGACAAAAACTGTTAAAATATCGATAATAGTGAAACATTCAGATGGATTTGATAAGAATGAGATGCGCTAAAATGTTGAAACTAACATACTTGTGAACACATCTATTTTAGATTTCTGATTAACATTTGATAATCACAGTAATTCATGATCAGTGACACATTTTTTGCTTCGTTCACCTTCATCGCTGCCTCGGCGGATGTTGTTGTTTTTCGCCTCTCATCCTAATCTGGATTTTGCTGCTGTTGTTCCATGTTTTCTTTACCTCTCGTCCCTTTTCATCTTTGTCCTTCCCTCGCCTCCCGTCTCCGTCTCGACTCTGTTTTCCAGCTGTTCATTGAGCTGTGTGTTTATCTGACATATTGAACCGCTTTGAAGCCAACAACCTTTCAGTTTTTTCCTCAACAGTCAGTTCTGCTCTGCTCACACAGCTAACAAACAAACTACTGCAAGCCAAAACAACATGCGTTTTTAAATATCGCAACATAATAACTTTAATCTAGGCCAGGAGGACGACCTCGCTGCTTTTGAAAATGCAATTTCTTCTAAAAACACTTTAAAAAATCAATTAACATAATGCCACTATTTCTAAAACAACTAGTCATGGAAAGGATTTAGATGGACACTCAAAATGAAAACTAAATAAAAGAAAAAGGAAGATCAGAGTACAGAGCCCTGTGGACTGAAAAGTGAACTTTGGTTTTTATGCTCAGTAATCCCAGGGAAATTAAAAACAAAGTCAGGTAACAGTTCAACAGCATCCACAGATCCTGGTCCAAACAGGCTCAATTATGAAAAATCGTCAATCTGTTACCAGAATTAAGAAATAACTGGTTACATTTACTCAGTTACGTTTACGTGAGTAACCTTTTGTAAAAAAAAAATAAAAATAAAAAAAAATACTTTTAGGAGTATTTTAACTACACTGTACTTTTTACTTGAGTAATTTTATGATGACGTATCGCTACTCTTACTTTTCTACCCACTGAGTGACATCATCAGCAAACTCTGGTCCACCTACAAACCACAGTCTCCATTTTAACTGAACACACAAAACTCCGCAGCACCTCTACATGTTAAGGTTGTCATAGTCAAGCTAGCATAGCTAACCTACTGCTCTCTCCCTCACTAGGTTTTCAGGCATAAGAGTTCGCTTTTTCGGTCCGCATCAGAGATCGACTGCCAATTCACACCTTCCCCAAACAAACCAAATTTTCTAGACAAATGAACTGGAGTTGGATTAAAGCGACTGAAAAGGACTGATGGGAATGCAGCGATAGCCTGCATGCTAACCCTAACTATGGTCCACCTACAAACCACAGTCTCAGTTCTGATGAAGTGAACACCAAGCATGGCACAAGGCATTCTGGGTAAATATAACTTCAACAAACTCATGAGATGGGTAGCTCCAGTGGGAGAAATGGCTGTTTTGTCTTTTAGCAAAAAAGCCACAACCACAAAAATCTGATGCCACTCCATTTTTGTTTACATTTCATGAAGAAGGAAGTTGTGCTCTGTCTTCTTCTAAGGTTTTCATGTTGTTTTCTTCAGTGTTTCTGGGTGCAACGCCCCGACAGGCGAGGAGGGGAACAGCTTTTTCAATTAGTTTGGTTGGTTTGACTCACTGCAGTGAGAAAGAGACCAGCTGAAAAAGTAGTAAACGTTGCAATTTTGATCCCCAATCAAACCGAGTCTACCAGACTATCAGGTGGGAAAATAAAGTAGGATTTTTTGTGGAAACCTATTTTATCTCTAAGTTCAACAACATCCATAAAAGTTTCCCATTTTTAAGAACCAAACTTGAACAGCCATGCAGCATAAACTTTGCGTCCAAATATTTAAACCCTGCTGCAGATACGAGTCTTCCCGGTCCGTTCTGTGTTTTGCTCAGTGTCTCTGGCAGCAGATGTATCAGCGTTCCTCGCCGTGTCGGCTGTATATCATTACCGTTAACATCTGCATAAATCTAAATAAAGCTCTAATTTCAGTGTGGATTCAGCACTGACCTCCCTTCCTCCCTCAAGCCTGCTTTCCGATTTGCATAAATGAGTGATGATTGTGAGTTTATGGGTAATATGCAAATGAGCCAATTATGATTGATCAGCTGATTGATGGCTGCTGTCTGTGCAAAGCATCCGACCTGTGAGCACGCACTGCTTTACGCTTAGTCACTGACAAAAAAAAAGGTGGAGGAAAGTAATGCAGATCAGCAGGTAAAGAGATAATCCTAATCCGTCAACATGCCCACATTTTGTTTAATTGGATGTTATAGATCAACACAGTAGAGATAATAGTGAAGTGGATGGACAATGACGGAGTTATGTGTGGTGTGCATTTTTATTTAAACCATTTTACTCTGATAAGCCAAAAATCTGGCCTCTGGACGGACAAGATACAAGAAACCCAAGTAGGTTGCAAGATTATTACTGTTAACAAAAAGTAAA